ATCACCTGGTGTGAATGATACCAGAATGAACTGCAGCAAGGCTGACAATTGTATCAGTGTCATCCTCCCTGATCTGTCAGGAACCTCGGAAAAGCCTTACTAAGTTTGGAAAGCAGACTGGAAAAGTCATCTTTCATCCAAAAGAGATTCTTACTTATCTTTTTAGCCTCTCAAATGTAAATGTTCACTATTTAAAGAATAAGCCAGGAGTCTGTGAGTTGAAAAAGAACAGTTGGAATTGATTTATATCAGGGCTTCCCAACATTTGCACTAGACAGTTTATTGTACGTACAGGGCTGTACTGTGCATTGTAGGCTGTTGAACAATATCCCTGACATATACCTATTAGAAGCCAGTAGCATTCTCCCCTTAGTTGTGACAGTCAAAAATGCCTCTAGACATTACCTAATGTTCTGGGGGTAAGATCATCCCTGATTTGAGAACTACTGATTTAGACCAAGTTCAGCAGACTAGAGCTAGGCTGTTTTCATTTGATTTCCTTCAGCCTTTCTCACTGGTGAAGGGTTGTGTTCAGTTGGCTGGGATGTGAGGACGGCGCCTGGGACAAAATTGGAATGTCTCTCTCTAGGGAAGGGTTCCCTGGGGAGATGGGCACGGAGGAAGGGGAACTGATGGGTACCAGCTCCCATAAGTATCCCTGGAAGCATTGCCTCTTAAGGTTGGCAGGAATTTGATATAAAAGTGTAGAAAAGGCAAGCACTGATAGCAGAGGAAGATTCCTCGTATTTCTCCTCTTAAATGAGCACAAGATTGTAGGTGAAAAAACAAAGCAACAACAACAACAAACCCACCTGGATTCTAGGCCCTTATTTTCCAGGAACACTTGTATATGATTCCCACAGTGCTCGTGCCTGATTTTTCCTGAAAGAGAAGATTCTGAATCCCATGTCTCATACTAGTTTTCATTTGTTTTTGCATCTCTTTGTCATCCTATTGTACTTTTCTGTGCTTTTTGGTGAAATCCCTAATGTGATAAAAGGATGACCAGCATTCTTGGGGGTGGAGGGGTGCAAAATTTATACACGCTACAGTTTACTATTTCCTGTGGTATAAATATTCCCACTATGGTCGATTATAAGCTACCAAACTGAAGGCAGATTTGGGAAGTGATTACAAAATTGGCTGTCCTTAAGGACCTGTTCGAGGACAACACTGGATACTTCTATGAGTGATCATCTCTGTCATTAACATTAACATTTATTTACCTGTCAAGCTGGGATGCCAGTTTTGTTAGATATCTGCTATTACTTATTCTGTGGTCAAAGAAACCTTGTTTTCTTTGCAACATGGCATGTTATTTCCTTAGCAGAAGCTTTATTACTCCATGGCTATCGCTAAGTTATGAGTATGATGAGATAGCCCTCATAAGTTTTCAGAGTTAGTTGTGATAGTTCTGTAGATCAGGGTGGCCAAGCCAGTGAGTATACAGTAATAGTTCTAGCCTGTCAGCCTTGCTCGCTGTCCCACCAACCTACTGGGGCCTCACCCTGTCTGTATTCCACCTGGCTCACAGGGGCTATTCATACCTGTTACCAGCACTCCACTGAAACTGGCTGAGTGCCGGGGGGTGAGAATACAAGTGACTGAAACCTAATTTTCAAAGGACATCCACATGCCTGTGTGCCATACAAACTTGAAGGTCTGTCACTATTTTAGGTGCTAACTTAAGGGATTGGGAATATTATGATTTTATGCTGGCAGTCATGGATGACTGTTTCTCTAATCAGAATTTAATACCTAGAGAACTGGAACTATATCTTCTGTCCTTCTTCCAAGAAACCTGCTTGTTGGATTAAAGCCTTCCGTACCTGCAGAAACCCTTAAGCAATCTCTCTCAACTCCCAAGTTCATGTGGTACCAAAGCCCATGCCACATTATTTTACATAAATTTCAACCCTGTCACCATATTGTACAGATTGTTCCATATAAAAATAATGCTAATTCTCAGGTGTGGCTCAGTAGTAGAGCACTTGCCCAGCATGAACAAGGCTCTGAGTTCAACTGCCTGCACC